TCCAGACCTTTAGGTCCTATGTCATCCGACCCCAATGATTTCCAACCCCTAACTCCCGGGCACTTTCTCGTTGGTAAACCCTTGATAGCTCTTCCCTCACCAGTATTGACAGAATCTAACTGTAATCGACTCAACAGATATGAACAATTGGAACAGATGAGGCAGCATTTCTGGATGAGATGGCAACACGAGTATATAAGTGAGCTTCAGCACCGTACCAAATGGCGTAAACCCGATATTAATTTACGTATTGGAGACATGGTAATCATCAAGGAAAGCAATTTGCCACCCTTGAGATGGAAGATCGGTCGTATACATGACCTTCACATGGGCAACGATGGTGTCTCCAGAGTAGCGGATGTGAGGACAGCTAGTGGCACAGTGCGGCGAGCGATCAATCGCCTGTGCCCTTTGTTCGAGCCTGAAGACGAACAGTTTAAGAAGCCTGAGGATGGAAAGTTGAAGGTGCGACCTTCAACGGGGGGAGTATGTTAACGCGCACGAGTGCGGGGTGCGGGACGCACAACCGCCACCACGGCCGCCACCTCCCACTTTACCGTGTAGGTACCTACCGGTACCCTATATAAGCGAGTGCACCGGGGTCGTCGACGTCTACGCCTGAATTTTGAATTAAGTATTGTATTATATAAATTAAAGTCATACCAAAGTTAAGGAAATGTTGTAAAGTGCCAAGTTAAGGCAAATAAACCTCAAGTACAGTTCGTGTTCGAGTAATTCATTTAAGCTCCTATCATCAAGAACCTAACACACACAGAAAGGTCTAAGCCTAGACACATCTAAGGGGATATTTAACAAATTACTTTTCTCATCCTGGTTTGGGCGAGAGGGTGTGGTAGACTTTAACTGACTAAATAAAAAAATAGTTTATTTGCAAAACAGATTTTTGTGCTTACAGTATTGTGATTGAAACCTCTTTTTAAGCGAGATGTGCCTAAATAATCACCCTGTTCCTACATCTGATAAGGGCTGAGGCCGCGGTGCATTGTAGAGGTAGCTATATCTATATCTGTGGGATACCCAGAAATATATCCGGTATGTAAATATATGTGTCTATGTTTATATTGCAATTTGCTTTTTAATGTGCTGATTCTTATTATCATCATCATATACACCTCAAGGCTTCCACTAAGATCTTTCTTTTAGACTTTCAGATAGGCTGGTTGCAACCTGCATCCTAGTGGCATTCAAATGGAATCGAATGAAATCGGCTTCACATTACGCGTTAGCCCGATCCACTCGTTTGCCATGGCGAACATTCGGCCAATGTTTACTAGACTCTACATATAGAAGGTTCCTTATCAAAACAAGTGGTCATAGCTTTTTTTCACGAAGTTACCACGTATAACAATGCACCATTAAGTTTATTTGTTTGTTTACTAACACTACGAATTTTCGAATTAGTTGTTAGTGAACCATATTAAGTAGGTACCAACCTACTTACCTTGTACTTAGTTTGACGTCAATTCTTAAATTTCAAACTTTGATTGCCTCTCAAGGTGTTAAAGTATGTAGGTATGTATACTTCACGTGGTATAGTATTATATTTATTAGTAGTTTTAGTAGTTATTATATTATATTAAATTTCAAACTTTGATTGCCTCTCAAGGTGTTAAAGTATGTAGGTATGTATACTTCACGTGGTATAGATAGATCCTGTTTTGGGTAAACTTATGGATCCATCTGTACATTTTTACAAGGTCCAAGAGGCTGATAGGATGGAGGATCAGAGCAGTAACTACTGCTCTTTATTACCTAAAACGTAATCTTTAAATACGTAAATTGTGAAAAGGGTATTGTGGAAACCTTGATGAACGCACTTTTAGTACCGTGGCCAAATTTGTTGATTGATGGAGTCTTGCAAAGTGCCTTAACTTAAACTAATAGGAATAACATTTTTATAATCAGTTTACATAGGCGTGTCATATAGGACATTTGTCTGCAGATAACAGCTCCCACGTAGCAGTCTGGACAAGAAAATCCTTACCTACTTGGGAAGCAAAGCACACTTTTGCGTGGCAAAATTTTGGTGCTAAAGTGCAATGAAAACGAGATCAGATATTCAATATCTAAGTGTTCCAAATATGTACTTAGTATCGATCCCAAGGAACTTGGCTACAGTTCAAGTCCATTAGAGGATACATTAAAATTAATATTCCTTTCACGGCTGACTTATTCCATTCCGTTTTAATTGCAATAAGTAATGTGGGGACAGGAACAGTGAATCAAAGAATACTAAACTGTATTCTTTATTTATTAAAATGTAACTTTAATGCCAATTATTACAGTTTTATGCTTCGTTAGTAACCCCGTTTTTGACCCCGTGAGGGTTATGAGGATTTCGAAAATTTATAAGTGACTAGCTACTCTCGCGCGGTTTCACCCGCTGCTTGACTCCATTTAATCGTAGCGTGGTGTTTTATAGCCTATAGCACTCAGGAACACTGTAGCTATCTATCATTGGCAATCCGACCAGCGGTTCCAAAGATTACCCCTACATACAAACTTACAAACTTGCAAATTTGACTTCTTTACAATATTAGTATAGATAAGTAGTACGGAGGTCACGTTTGGCAATGTAGACTCGCCCTATATTACACGGGATTTAAAGCATAACTCGTAGTATGTAGTTCAGGAGTAATGTGTTATCCATCATCTTTAACCTATAAGTGGGTATGCACTGGTAACCAAAGATATCTTCTCACACGGAAAAGGGAGCGGTTTTTAGTCATTAAGAGTCTGACACTTCTTCTCGTCCCGTAGGTGTATTGGATGATGTTCCGCCCTCAAAAATATAAGATTTTCATGTAGGTACTTTATTATGCCGCTATCTGTACTATATATGTCACTTACATTATTATATATTGTTTATTTCTCGGATAACAAAGGCATAACACTTCCAGTATCTCCGATTCTAATGCCAAGCACGTAAAGTGAATTAATCGCGAGGCAAATAAATAGTCATTAAAGTACTCATGTCCTTATGATGATGTTATTATTGATGATGGCATTTGTGCATCTAAGTAACAGGTACAGTGATGAGCGAAGATACACATCCGCCCTATTTATTATAGCATACATTATGCCCGAACTAATTTCTTAAAAAAAAACGTTGGCTATCTTTGAGTCCCTTTTCAAATATAAAATTTCACTTACACATCACACCCAGACTCGGACCAAAAATTTCCGGGATCCACGCTTTGGGTATGTGCGAACCCGGTAGCCGGTCGCCCAGCCACTTACATTATCAATAGTTTGTGATGATGTGATGATAAAGGTTGAACATTCCATTCTTTGCAGGTTGGATAACGTTAATTTATGGTGTCTGCCAAAGTTTTTATCTCTTCACACATCATGAGCCTATAGATGATGAAGGAGTGTACATTCATCACCATGCTTGCTCAAAGCAGTTTGGCGATTTCAGGTCTCCTGACTATATTTTCCTTCACCGTAAGTGAATGATGTCCAAACAATCTTAAAAAGTACACATAACTTGTAAAAAGTCACATTGGCACATACCACCACCGACAACTATGGTTTCGAACCTGAATCTCATGCTAGAGACGAGATCTACTACGATGAAATTGTAACTTTGAAAATTACAATGAGTTTTCAAATAGATGTTAAGATTTAAATTTAAATATCGAAACGTAGTGTTATATATTGAAGGAAGTTAACTGCGCTATAGGTAACTCTAATGAACTTACCTGCTGCCAGTTAACCCTAAATGTACCTACCCAACCACGGCTGAAATTATCTGCTCGGGAAAACTAGGCTGCATTAAGGAAACTAAATATATTGTACGGCGCTAGTGGTAAGATGCAAACACTCTAATCAAAGTGTTTGTCTATACTCATATTATAAAGAGGTAAAATTTTTAAGTTTGTATGTATGTAGGTAATATTTACTGGCCACAATGTTCCTAAGCGCTATACTTAGGCTAGGTATAAGCTATACCTACTTGATTTGCGTATTATAGTCGAGACGCTGCTGTTTTTAAAATCCTGAGTTTTTTTTTAATACGTGTGCGAAGTCGTGGGCGGAATCTTGTTGTAAAAATATATTTTTTGAAGGAGAAAATTAGGTACGAAATCGAGGCATCATCAATAGCAAGGTAAGGTCAGATTCTTACAAACTCAAAACCTCCCCCTTTCCTTCCCCTTCTCCTACTTCAGGCTGAGCCCGCGCGATATTATTGCGCTTGCAACCGCAACCTCGATTGTAAATATACGAACGGATAAATTTCTGTACCCTTAAGATGTCTCAGCAAGGTTCTAATACTCATATATTGTATGACTCATTAGCCATTTGGTTTTTATTAATCCACCTTGTCCGAGTCCATCTTACTGAGCCCAATTCTAACTACAAATGTTTGAGAACACCATCCAATAATACTTTAACTGACTTAGGAATCCAACCGGAGACTTCCTGATCGACAGTCGCGTTAGCGATTACTCAGCCAACAAAGCAGATTTTGTGCTAATTGTAAGTATATATATTAGAATTACCAAATATCAAAGTCCAATATTACTTCGACCGACCTTTAAACCTAACTTCGCATATATTTCTATATAGTAGTCGCATTGTATTAAAAAAACTGCACTTGTTGTAATAAGTTAACACTAAAGATTTTGAAACACATCTTCCAAGCCCTGTTAATTTATATTGACCATACTTATTTAGTCTAAAACTGATTATCTACAGAGAAATCAATTCGATCAACGATATAATTTCGTAGCGTTTTGTCTTACAGAATCGTTTGCGTAATCATGGCTGCCATTGGTATCAGAGCGGTCGATTTTTAGTATCACAACTAAACAGTTAGCAAATACCCTTCGGTGCAGACAGTTGAGTGATTCAACCTCTTTGTACGCTACTAAATTTGAAAAAAGAACGTTACAGCTGAACGTGTCTATGATCTTTGAATTAAAAAAATATTCGCAATATATGTGGCCGTATATCCACATACTCAACAGAAACCGGTGAGCCCTAATGAGCTCCGGTTCTTCACAGTTAATCGGGAAAATTTCTAGTAAAAAAACTTTTTATAACGAGTTTCAAACCATTGTTCGGGATGCTATTGTGCTGAACTCTCGTCTCGGCTCTCGTACCGGGAAAATGCTTCGTTCTGAGATGATGGTTTTCAGTGCTGAAGTGTGTTTTTAATCGTTTTTGTTGGTATATTATTGTGTTCGGATATGGTCGTGAATGCAACCGCGTGTCAACTTTCGTCGTTCTTCATAGGTAAGTTTTTGGTTTTATGTTTTCAATTGAAGTGTTCAATTTTCATTATTTTTACAAAGTTACATATGGAAAAAATGAAACACAGACTAAAGTTCAAGTTACCATCATTTAAGTTTTCGACAGTATCAGTTGCAACAAATATTTTTAATAATTGTTCCTTTATATATGATAGACTGTGCAATAATGAGCTGAATTCTAATAAAACCATGACCTACCATTCTACCCGTGCAATGGTAGCCATAACCTTTAGAAAAAGCAATCTAAAGAGGTTTCAACTTTTTTTTTTTAACTTTTAAGTATAAGAATAATTTATGGTATAAATCAGTGTATGTATGACTATACTGTTGTTGCGATTGCTTACCATCAGGTATTCCATCTGCTAGTTTGCCGGTATATCACTTTAAAAAAGTAACGTTTTACAAAACGGCAAAATAAACTGAAAAGTATTGGAATAAGACCGATTATAGCACGTCGCGGTACGAAAATCATAAGTAATATCTTAACAGCCTACTTACAAGCAGTCATGGTCAGGCCCCTGGTTAGTTCAGGACATAAAACAAAACTTTTGCTGTCTATTACCAAATGGAATTTGAACTGTATACACGTATTTATGAAGACACCAAACATACCAACTTTGATACTCGCAATACCTATAGTATAGTAGATAAATTTATATGTATACATATAAATATAGCCACAATGATCATTGCTCAACTACAGAATCATCACGAGTGACTTGCACAAATATAGGTACAATAATGATCTCGAAATCCGTACCTGTTACTATTACTATTATTACAAATATGAAAGTAAGTTTGGTACATTGCAACACCTAAATCGCTGAGCAGATTTTGATATTGGGATAGGTTAGGTCTTAAAAGCCATAATATATTAAAATAAAAAATAAGTGTTATCGCTGGCACTATTTAAATTACAAAAATTGATGTTTTAATGATACATACAACATTTATTTTTTGAGAAAATATATAACGTAACATCTAAAGGCTTTGGGATCATGCTCTATCATGATTACAAAAAATAAAACGTCATAACATCAACCTACCATGAACTAACAAAATTCTTTAAACTTTATGTATGATTGAATATAAATTACAGAATTATGGCATAGTTTGACAAGTGTGGAAGAGTCAAACTTTAGCACGAATAGGTCGATTCGACCTGAGTGGTAGATAGTACCACGGCCTCACCGGCAGAAAACCTGCGTGAAATAACGACAGCTTTATATTTGCCACCGTGTGAGTGAGGTTACCAGAGGCCCAATCGTTTCCAACCCCCCATTTCTTCTCACTACCTAAATCTTTGGGATCCTAATTCGTACTTGCACCTCCTTTGGTGTTACGGCTGTCCATGGGTGACGCCGCTTACCATCAGACAGAGTTATCACATACAAAAAGACATAAGCATAAATAGTGATGATGACTAAATGGACAAAATGAACATATGTTTACTTCCTCGATGCCTTAGATGATTGTTGATTAGCACTTTACTTATAGTGAGTATGTCGGTAACATTGCGGAGTGTTAGCACGTAGTGTGCAGTGCTTCATTCGCGAGCATAAGATAATTTGTAAACATCTTTGTCATCTTTTTAACAATATCTACGTACATTCAAATAAAAATATTTGACGTTTTTGTTTCCAGAAAAATGCACAACCGACAGAACTATGTTGATTAAATATAGAAAAATACTGAAATCACTATTGACTATCGTTCCACTCCGGCTTCGCATGGGTGCAATGCTAATGCTAAATTTCTCCATGATTTAATGGATGTTATTATACATATAAACATTCTTCTTTAGTCATCTATTAAAAAAAACGCATTCAAATCCGTAGTGTAGTTTTAAAGATTTAAGCGTACATAGGAATATATTGGCACAGGAAGCGACTGTTTTATATTGACTATGTAGTGATGAAGAACCAGTGCAATAAGGAGCTAACCTATTATCCTCCCGAGTGTACGGCGCGAAGCGTTCCGCGCGCGATTAAAAGAGCCAATAGACCACCACAGACGAGGTCATACTGGACTGATGTTTAGCCGAGGTTCATAGATACAGGGCAAGCGCAATGTGGCACCGCGACCTCGGCCTCTAAAGCAGGTGAAGGAACTGGGGTTTTTAGTCAGTAAAAGTCTGTCAGAAACTTTCTCTCGCCTTGCCCTGGGCGGGGGAATTTATTTGATGAATTTCCCCTGACAAAAAAAGAACCTATTATCCTAAGAAGATTACTTTATGTAAAACAAAAAAAAAACTTCTATCGTTCTTGTCTGATGCAGAAAAGGAACCTAAGGTCCGTCGCCCCTCATCAGCATATATATCCACTCTAGGGATAAGACAGTTAGTTTAGTGACCGTAGTAGGCAAGATCCAAAGCTAACCAAAGTACTTCAGGAAATAAGGTTATATTGTTCAATTGTAACTACTGGAATATTAGACAACACATTTAATGTGTATTGTACCCAGTAATTGTATTATAGAGCCACGGCTAAGTTGTAAGGCGTACTTGGCCTGAGCTGTTAAGGGATATGATTAAAACTTTTATAATGAGGTCGATAGAGTTGTTAATGGCTTGATGACTTACGATGAATAAATACAACGTGTTTTGTTGTAATATCACATCGCGTTTTAAACAGTAACAATATTTAAATATCGTATATTTAATTATGTTAGTTTTTATTAGAAGAAACAAACAGCTATTCTAGCAAATCCATGTGAAATTATTAACATCCCTACTAGGGATGGTATTTGAGTAATAAAAAGTACTAAAAAATCGTTTTAAATGATGAGTATGACGGATAACAGAAACTTAACTATATCAGATAAGGATTAAAATATTTTGGAGGTGATGAATGTTGAGAGGTGACTTTCAAGATCAATTTAAAATTTATTTCAATTTTAAGTTTTTTTAAAAACTATTCAATTCTATCTGTTTGTATGTATGGCAACATTGTCTCATTAGGTGGTTACCTGTAAAGATGGTGTTGTACGTGAATAAATAAATAAATATTTTTTTTAGAATAGCCCTGTTGAAAGTAATTTTTTTCTTCATAACATTTGAGCGGATTGTTTATGTTAAAACATTGTGATAATTAACAATTGAATTTATTATTGTGTTCATGTTTTCTTATTAGAATGTTATTTTAATATTTCAAGGTAAAACGTATAAATGAGATGTAAATCTAATTAATAATAAAAACAATTTTATGGTGAGAACTAATTAATTTTGGTTCTCATTCATGCAGTACCTTTACAGGTACCTACACTATTGTTGTCTCAAATCATTTGAATAAACATCCTTATAACTACAACAAAAAAATCTATACTCGCACAAAATCATAACAAGTATCAGCGTCCAAACAGAAGTAAGAAGAAAGAAAGAAAACACATTTATTCGACAAATAAAATGAAAGTAAAATAAAATAAAAAATAAACAAAGTAAAATAAAATGACGAAGGCATCCTATAAAATCTGTACATATAATCAGATTTCTGATATCCTATAATAATCAGATCTCTGAATCTGTGTAAAACAGTTACCAATTAACGAAGGCATCCAATAAAAGTTGTACATATAAAGTTATATAATTCTCTAAAGCACATAACACATTGACCCAAATATTAAAAGAAATTAACATTATCTATATTAAAACACTTTAAAGAACAATTTTATCTGCGGCAATTTACCAAAATCGCTTTAAGTGCTTTTAAGAAAAAAAAAAATTAAAATACATTAAATTTTACTAACGGTAAGTGGCTTAGGCAATGATAATGTACAATGTAGATATCGACATATCTATTGTCTAAGCATATATGTATATCTGAACTCATCGAAATAATAATGGTTCTATACCTACACATAATGGCTACTCTCGCGCGGTTTCACTCGCTGCTCGGCTCCATTTGGTTGTAGCGTGACGTTTTATAGCCTATAGCACTCGGGAACATTGTAGTGTTGTATTTATCAATAAAGTGAAAGAATTTTGGGTATCCGATCAGTGGTTTCAAAGATTACCCCCTACATACAAACTTACAAACATACAAGCTTACAAATTTCACCTCTTTATAATATAGGATAGATGAAATGCGACTAATTGTTATTATCAAAAACTGTTTGTCAATGAGTTTCATGGCAGACTTTTTCATACTTAAAATTGCAATAATAGGACTGACGTCTATTGGATTAGTTATCGCGAAATCAGCAAACGAGCAAGCTAGTCATTTGATGGTCCTTGGACACAACGCCAAAGGAGCTACGACTGCAATGCTGGCCTATAGGGGGCAGGAAAATGAGTATTAGAGAAGGGAAAGAACATGGTTTCCATTATAACCGTACTGCGACGGAGAAACCGAAAGCAAACGTTGTTTCATGCCGGTTTTCTGTAAGGAAGTGGTATCATTCCGGTCGAGCCGGCCTATTGGAGACACAGCAAGGTTTTCTAAAGAATAACCTCATAATACCAATTTTTAGTAACGAGTTCAATGAACCTCGTTAACAATAACTAGTGTTACAATTTTACGCATTACAAGTAAATCTCTCAATGAGTGACAACTACCATTGTATAAGAGTCATTAAAATGGCATAACGGCATAACGTTGTTATCTGTCTCTGCTCCACTTTCAAGTTTACGGCAATTGCAAGTCATTCATTAGATTTTTAAACTTTTTTATTGTTCACTTTTACATTACAACTGCATGTGGAAACAATTCACTTATATTGCGTAACGTTACACTTCATTAATGTATTTTCGGAAGATTATTGTCTGCGTGTATTGTATTGTATTTAAAGTTTAAAGTCTGATTTGATTGTGAATTAGGTAATTTTGTTACAAAATGTTGGTAGTTTACGAATAAAAGAATGTTAAAGTAAATTAAGATTTGTGTTACTTGAGCATAAGGTTGCATGTGGATTGTGAAAGGAAATAACAATTGTTTTTTAAAAGTTCCATATAGGTAAACTTAACGAACCTGTTTCTCGAATAAGGGT